ATTTTAATTCTTAATTTTTTGTATCAAAAATGTCAATACAGTTTAAGACTTATTAAATATCTATATAACAATATCTATATAAAAAGTTTATATATAATATAAATACCTATATAAAAAGTTTGACTATATAAATATCTTAGGCGTTGGAAAATGTATCTTACATATTACAAAATTCGAAAGTCTCGTATCGGTCTCGAATTCGGACCTTAAGTCTCGTCTCGGTCTCGTCTCAGTATCGTTCGAAATACTACGTGTAATTACGCAAGCATCAATGACTACGTTTACACGCACTAATAAAAACGGTTTTAGTAAAAACCGTTTTAGTTAAAATCGGTGTTGGTGCCTGTTTACACGACAGGCGTATTTTACCTCCGCCAAAAATGAAGTAGCTTTATATAACCTGATACGGAACCTGAGACGAAATATCATTTGTCATTTCTTAACCTTAACGTCTAAAGTTGGTAACATTGAATTTTGATACGTTAAACCGATTGAAGACCATTTACACGACTTTCGTAAAACGGTTTAGTAATGTCAAATCTGTTTCAGAAGAGGTTTGGATTTACTAAAACGGTTTTAATAACATCTGTATTAAGAGATTTACAGGACATCTAACACCGGTTTTAACTAAAACGGTTTTTATTAAAACGGTTTTACCAGTGCGTGTAAACGTAGCAATGATGATAATATTGGGAGGATCCCGTTTACCTACAAAATGATTGCCTACAGCTTCGTTTGCACACAGCAATATTGCACACAGCGTATTACACACAGGACAATATTGCACACAGCACATTGCACACATGACATTATTGCATACACGATATTATTGCACACAGCGCATTGTACACACGATATTATTGCACACAACACATTGCACACACGACAATATTGTATACAGAGTATTGCACACACGGCATTATTGCACACAATACATTGCACACACGACAATATTGCACACAGTGCTGTTAAATTGTTTAAAAAAAGTTTGCAAGCCGGAACAACTTTTGATTATGATTGTTCCATATAGATCTTGAACAGAACAAGTCAGATCTATCATAAAAACTGCCCAAAGTTATCAGTACGTCACATTTCCGCCAAGTGACGTGCTGGTAGCAACAGTTAAATTGTTTAAAAAAAGTTTGCAAACCGGAACAACTTTTGATTATGATTGTTCCACATAGATCTTGAGCAGAACAAGTCAGAACTGTCGTCAAAAATGCTGAAAATTGTCATGACACTTTTTCGTGGATTAAAATTAAATCAAAACTGTTTAAAAGTTATTAATTGTTGGAATTTTGACCTGAAACTTTATATAATAACATATTTTGTTTAAAATTAACCGGAATACTTAACAAATGTCGCAATATTCAATGGCTTCTGGTACTTTAGAGGAAGATGTGCCGTGCTGGAACGTTGCTGAAGTTAACACGGCATTTCTTTATTTTCGATTTTTTGTTATTAAAAATGCGAAACATTTATTTGTATTTACAAGAACAGTAGAACAATGAAAAGTGCTAACTATTACTGGAACAATCATTGTTTTTTGAAAATTAATAAAACGCTGTGCTAACTTCACAGACACGCGATATGGTGCTTTGTGATCACGGTGAGCGTCCTTATTTTCGGGATAATTAATTATAATCTTAAAGTTTTTTGATAAATTAGTTTTCCATATTCTCTATTTTGATATTTCCAATATTTTCTTTCTTTTTTTTTCTTTCTTGGGTTTAATTTCTGGCATTTAAATTCTCGATGTAGGGGAGCTCACCATGACAAGATAACTTTTATTCACAGTTTATACATGTTAGTTTGTGTTGTCTCAGAAGAAGGCTCAAAAGTGAACCGAAACATGTAAGCGCGTTTAATAGAATAAAGAAGTTTTACGCTTTACTACGAGTGTATTATTTGCGCGACGTCTTCTGCGCTTGACTCCTATTGCCCTTATTCTTTCCAATTTCTTTTGATTTATAAGGAGTCTTTGTTAGTTTGATTTGTTATATGGATAAAAAAATGTTGAAAAAAGTGCAATCCTTTTTTAGGAGAACCATCCAATATAAACTGAACGAAAACATATTCTAAAATATTATTAATAATTTTTACATTACGTAACATGTCAATAATTTTATAGACTTAACTATAAATAGAAGAAAACCTTTAGATAAGAGAAAATTATGTATAAAGATTAAATTTAAAAGAAAATAAAATAAGATTGTGTAATAAATTCGACGAAAAATAAGTAGAAAACATATAATTTTACAAGTCGGTTTACAAAGAAGATGTAATTAAAACAATTAGTCAAGATTATAAACTTACACCAAGTCACTTCTAATTTCTTAACATTAGCTTTAAACTGTTAATGACTAAAAATCTATAAATCTTTATCAATTAAAATCTTAACAATGGGATATCGAAAATCTGAAGAATGAAAGAAGATCAATTATTTAACTATAATTTAATGACGTTGTCGAATCCATTTCATTGTTATCCAAAAGTCAAAATTCAAAATCATGCAATTAACGTACGTCCTTGTAAATAATTACTAATTAGATATTGTCAATACTAAATTTGTCTCGCTCCTCTGGGAATGACTTTTGCTTTAATACCGTAAAGATAATTTCTAAGATTATATAATGGAATAGTTAATAGTTACCCAGAATGGCCTTTGTTTCTAAAAGTGATATGTCTTCTGTGAATGGCTCGGATTCAACTAAATACTTATGTTTTAGTGATTTTAAGTTTTCTTCTCTTATGCCCTCTTTGACCCTTCCCTCTTTTCACTCTTCTCGTCTCTCATTATCTATTTCTTTATGTTCTTTGTTACCTGTCATTACAATTGTGTTTCAGTAAAGTTCCTGTTAGTCTTTCAAACATTTTTTCACTATTAAATTTTATATATATATAATTCTGCAATTCAATTAATTTCAAATCTATTCGTGTGTTATTGCAAATCTGTTCTATGAAATATTTGAGAGACTTTTATCGTAATACGCTACATAAAACGCTGCTAAAATTGTACCTGTTTGATAAAAATTTTATGTGTCAAAAGAGTTTATGTTTCTTGTATCTTTCAATTGTATATTCAAAAAACTGTCAACTCTTATCACAAAACTATACATATACCTACTTCCCTGTTTGATAATCCACACGACTTTGATAAAAAAATTAATATTTAGATATAAGTGAACATTTTTACACACATTCATCAGAACTTATGTTTATCCCTGGATGCAATAATGTATTCAAGTAATGATAAACTCAGATGACAATAATAATTTGTTTTAGTGCGTTAGGAGATTCACTATCTTTGGTATATGCATATGTACGCATAATATCATGTCTTACTGGCATGTATCTGTTATTACTTACTTGATTTAAAATCATATATTTTTGAATTAATAAAGAACTTTCAATCTGTGAAAGCAATATACAGCAGCTCGTTTAATTTAAACTAGAAAGTATGAAGACTCTAAAGTCAATAACCATTGTTGCGGACAGTGCGGTGATTCCAACATTGATGGCAACCATAGTTACTAGAAAACCTCTACTCGTAAGCGACTGATATTAGATTTACTTCTAAGGGAATTTAAAGTGAGATATCAATATACTAAAACATACTAAATTAACAAAGAAACGTTCCAAATTTCAAACATGATTTCGACTGGTAACATTAGTTTTTTTAAATTACTTTTGCACAATTTGGAACGTTGCTTTGAAAATTTAGTTTTTTGTAAATTTAATAATATTCCATCTTTCTTAAAAAAATGTATAATATTACGTTTTGTATATATATTCGTAATTTCTGATACTCAATTTTAAATTATGTTTCTACATCTTTTTTTCTTTCCTCTTTATAT